AGGTTTGCGGGACCGTTGGGTTTGTCTTCCGAAATTGTCCGACTTGTAGTCAAGTAAGACAGGGAAACTCGGGTCCGGGAGCCGCCGACCGCTCAGCAACTCCTGCTTAAAGCAAATCGAACGGGCGGTTTGGATAGACGAGTTGCTAAGAAGGAAGAGTAACTCGGTTGTTGCGTCGGAAATAAGGAATTTCGATCGCATCATTAACGTAAGATTAGAAATAGAATCGGATACAGGCGAAAGAAAGCAAGTCGTCTGTAGGTCAGTAGTTTTAGATGTAGGTGAGAAGTTAGAATCGGACGCAAACGAAAGAAAGCAAATCGTTTGCAGGCCGGTAGTATTTGGTGTAGACGAGAAATTAGAGTCGGATGCAAACGAAAGTAAGCAAGTCGTTTGTAGGCCGGGTAGTGAGGTCGTTTACGATGTAGCTGACGAGAAGCTGGAGAGACCAGATCTCGTAGTTAGTGGAGAGTTTATTTCCTCGGCGTTGGACGGGCCCCTAAAGTCAGAGAACCAAAAATCGAGCATTTCGCGCGGCGGAAAAGCCTCGGTTCAACGTGTTAGTGCTAGGGCCGGTCATGAACAGCGGGACGAGGCGACAAGCAGAACATTGCTTAAGTACGATGCGTGGGATGCGGTCGGAACAAACAAAGTTCTTCCACATCTGACGATACGGCGGGCTCAACGAATTGACGCGTAGATAATGCGCACATATTTGACGAACCCGCCAACTCCGTAGCTTTGGGTAAGCGTTCGGTCGTCTGTACAGACGCATCGTCCGTTTTGGTGAAGGGGGAGACTGAGGATAGCTCAGTACCTTTGCTAAGAACGGAAGAGTCGGATCAAGCGTTAGTAGCCGTGACAGAAAATAGGTTTTTCTTGAAGGTGAAGATAGGCAATGAAGTCTATAACGCGCTGCTGGACTCAGGTGCTCAGGTGTCAGTTGTAGGACCGAGGCTTGCACAAAGATACGAGGAACGTTTGAGGCCGCCAACTATTTTCGTGCAAGGTATTTCAGGTGAAAAGGCGCGAACATTAGGCGATCTCAGACTGCGTATTGAGATAGGTGGTAGAATCGCCTGGCTGACCGTGACGGCCGTGTCAACTTTAAAACACGACCTGATCTTAGGCGCGGATTTCTGTAAGAACTGGCAAATTAACATTGATTTCGCGAATCGTGCTTGGCGGTTAGGTGATCAGAGTGATTGGTGTCAATTTGCCGACGAAGGTAGCGAAGCAGTTGACGTGTTCGTTGAATGCGCAGGTTTGAATAGGTACGAAGAGACTCAGCGCGAGACGATCATGGCGCTCGTTCGCCGGATTGTCCCCGAGTCTGGAAATTCACCGGCAGTCACTAACGTTATCGAACATATTATCGATGTCGGTGACGCTTGCCCGATTAAAACGCCAATGCGTCGAATGTCGCCGAAAATCTTGGCTTTCCTGCAGGAGGAAACGATGCGCCTGTGGAAAGCAAAGATAATCAGGCCGTCGAACAGTCAATGGTGTAACGCGCCGGTAGTCGTACGCAAGCAAGACGGCGGTTATAGATTTTGTCTAGATTTTAGGCCGGTTAATAAAGTGACAAAGATTGACGCTTATCCAATGCCAAGCATGGACTCAATCTTAGATAGGTTGCGCGGCGCGGTCCATCTTTCGAAAATCGACTTAAAGTCAGCGTTTTAGCAAATACCTCTCTCGGAGATAAGTAAGCAATATACGGCTTTTGCAGTACCGGGACTAGGTTTGTGGGAGTTTGAAAGAATGCCCTTTGGTTTAGTGAACACGCCAGCAACGTTCACGAGGGTAATGGATGCACTTTTCGGGCCTGAATACGAACCGCACGTTTTCTGGTATCTTGATGATTTACTAGTGGTTAGCGCGGACTTTGAAAGTCATGTCTTTTGGCTAGAAAAGTTGTTAAAAAGGTTAGTTAGCGTAGGTCTGGAAATTAATCTCGAGAAGTCGGATTTCTTCTGCACAGAGGTGACGTACTTGGGCTATCGCTTAGACAGTGAGGGTTTGCGTCCGGACGACAATAAGGTGCAACCGATTGTAGACTATCCGGCTCCGAGCAATGTAACTCAGTTGCGTCGCTTTCTCGGGATGGTAGGCTGGTACGCTAGATTTATTGAACACGAAAGTGATATCAAAGTTCCTCTAATAAAATTAATTCGTAAAGATCAACCGTGGGATTGGGGTGAAGCTCAGCAAGTCGAATTTGAAAGGTTGAAGCGCGCTTTGACTGAGGCACCTGTTCTTGCGCGCCCGGACTTCGCGCGCCCTTTCTACTTGCACTGTGACGGTTCATCTTTTGCGGTTGGCGCGTGTTTAGTTCAAATATTCGACGATGGCGAGCATACGATATGCTATGCCAGCCGAATGCTTAACACTCATGAGCGTAACTACACGGTTAGTGAGATAGAGTTTTTAGCCGTTCTATTCGCGGTAAAGAAATTTAGACCGTACATAGAAGGGTCACACTTTATTGTAGTTACTGATCATAGCGCGCTTACGAAAATTTTGAATAAGAGAGAACTTACAGGTCGGTTAGAGAGGTGGGTACTCGAGTTTCAGCAACACGATTGCGAGATAGTACATAGGAAAGGGGCATTACACCACGTGCCAGACGCGCTATCTAGGGAATTCGAAGATGAATATGAGGTATGCGCGTTTGAGGACACGAGCGATAAGTGGTATCTGCAACGAATACAGGATGTGTTGTCTAGGCCGAAAAAGTATAGGACGTGGAGAGTAGAAGGTAGCACGCTCTATAAATTTATGCAAAATCACTTGCTCGATCCGATCACTAACAGAGAAGAGTGTTGGCGCATGGTAGTGCCGGTAGAGCACAGAGAACGCGTGTTGCGCGATGCTCATTGCGAGCCCTCCTCTGGACATTTAGGCCGGGAAAAGACTTACGATAGAATAGCACTTGAGTACTACTGGCCGGGCGTTTGGTACGACGTTAGTACCTTCATTTCCGAGTGTAAAAAGTGCCAGGAGTACAAGACTGTACAACAGGCGCCGCTCGGTCTAATGAGAAAACGTGCAGTAGAACGCCCCTGGGCCGTGGTAGCCACGGACGTAGTCGAGCTACCGCGCAGCAAAAACAGGTTTCGGTATATGGTCGTGTTTCAAGATCTATTCACCAAGTGGATAGAACTGAAACCGCTTAGGTCAGCGGACGGGCCTGCTCTTGCCGCTGCCATGGAGGAATTAATTTTATTTAAATGGGAAACGCCAGAGTATTTGATAAGTGACATTGCGAAAGCATACAAGAGCGTGATCTTCCAGGGTATGTTGCGAGAGCATGGCATCGAGCACGTGTTGTGCCCCGCATATCATCAGCAGAGCGATCCGGTTGAACGCGTTAATAAGACGCTGAAAACTATGATTGCTATGTTCGTCGATAAAGACCACCAAAGCTGGGACCGTTACTTGCACGAGTTTAGGCACGCTTTAAATACCGCGATGCAGTCGTCAACTAAGGTATCACCGGCGTTCTTAAACTTTGGTAGAAATCCTCGGCCGGTTAAAAGTCTTAGAAGAGAGTTAGAAAAGAAGTTGCCTATTACGAAAATTGATACGCAAGCGTGGACGGATCGGTTAACGCGATTGAATGCGCTTAGAGACTTAGTGGCGAAACATATTGAAGAAGCTCAAGAAAAGCAAAAGCGTCAATATGATAGAGGTAGAAAGCAAGTACTGTTCCAAGTAGGCGATCTAGTCTGGCGGAAAGTCCATACGCTTTCTAACGCTGCCGCGGGTAAGAACGCGAAATTAGATCCGAAGTATGACGGTCCGTTTAAGATCATTAGCGTAGTCTCACCCGAGATTTATGAGTTGCAAACAGATAGCAAATACCGTAGCGCGAGAGTGCATGTATCGGAATTGAAGCGATACATACCACCTCGTAGAGTTAAAGGTTGTGAGTAGACTGTATATCCGTTTGTTTCAGTTGTTTAACGTATGTGCTGTTTCATTTTGTTTGTAGATTTTGGTTATATTGTAGTACTATGGAAGGTACGCCGATGGAGTCAGGAGCAGCCGCACCCGTCGAGCCTGATCGCTCTGCGCAATCCGCTGCCGCGATCGAGTTGAGCGCCGCGCTTCGCGTCGAACAGTCGATGGCACTGGAGCAGGTGGAACCGAGCCAGGCTGAGAAACCTGCCGCTCTTCCTTTGCAGGAAGAGCAGGCGGCCTCTCAAGCCGAGGCTCAACCACTGCCTTTAAGTGCCTCGACTGTCCAGGTTGGCAGTGCCGGTTCAGGCCGCGACGTGCCGATTCCTCCTCCATTGCCGGCGGGACCGGTCCTGGCCGAAGTGGGTAGCCAGATGAGCCTTGCTAGAAAAGGCAAGGCTCCGCAAACGGTACTCCGTTTAGCTAAGCCGGTGCAGACCTGGTCGGAGGCAGTGAGGAAGTGCGCTTCCTTCCGACTCACGACTCTCGCGATACGCGAAGCCGCGGAGAGGTCTCGCATGATGTCCGCCTCGGCAGGTTTGTTCCAACTACCGGCTGGAGAGGACTCCCGGAGTGATTCGTCGCCGGACCGACGACTCCCCGCGGCAAATTGCGCCGTTAGACCGGTTATAGGGAGAGCCGCTAAGACGCGCGCGATCTCGCGAAGACGAGTTGGCCGTACGCCGTTGCCATCTTCGTTGGCACGTTCCACGGGCACGAATGGGGTACTTGAAATGCTCGACGACGACGGTAGTTCGGCCGGGAAGAGTGCGCGGGCCGCTGATGCGCCTAAGGTGGCGCCTCAGAGGCACGTACACGAACCTTTGCCGTGGAAGCCTCTCGAGCTTCAGAGGCTCGACCCGGACTACTAGTTCGTAAGAACTGGTGGCCCGGGTGGCTTCGCACCGGCGGGTTACTCGGCCGACGAGAGAAGGCGCGAACACGAGGAGCGCGTGAACGCGGGGCGGAGGCGAAATCGGGGCCGGCTCAACCTATCCTCGTGCAACATAGAATCGCCGCTGCACTCGCGGGACCCAATGCCGCCGTTTTCGGCTCGCCTGATCGCGGACGTTGCGTCAATTGACCCCGACCAACGTACCGGTGCTTCGGCGAGTCGAGCGGCCAGTCACGTTGTGGCTCGAAGGCTTGGGCCCTGCGGGAGTGGTGTCGGCGCTATGGAGGTGGACGGGCCGTCGATGCCCTCGCCGTCTCCTCCGCCGCCGTCGCCGGTCCTCCCCGTGCCGACTGTTGAGCGCGCCTCGACATCATCAGAGGCGTGCCCACCAGTAAGACGCGAGGGTGCACGCTCGGAAAGGTCGTTGCCGATGAATACGCCGGCTAGAGTAGGCGCCTCGAATCCTGAGGTCAGGCTTGCGAGAGGAGTCTTTCTCTGCGGGTTGGCTTCGGTGCCGTGGGACGATCAACTAGATCTCCCACCGTACCGGTGTTTCAACTGTCGGACGGGCTCCCACCGCAGGGCTGACTGCACGAGGCCGCTACTCAGACGCGACTTCTGTCGGAATTGTGGCCGTTTGGACACAATTGTCGATAGCTGTCTGCATTGTAGCCAGGCGTATTCACGGGAGCAAGCGCAGTTGCGAGTGATTCGGGACGCCCCGGCCTCGGTCTCGAGTAAGCCGCCGGCGAGTGTGGTGTCTGTCCCACAAGACAGGCCCACGCCACAGCATGCTCCTCGAGAACCGGAGCCCCAAGTTTCGGTTCCATCGACAGTCGCGACGGGAGTGGCTCGGAAGAAACGCCACCGCTCGGGAAAGGCGTACCGCGAAAGGCTGGCCCGTAAAAGCTCTCGGCAGCAGGCGAGCGACGTTGAGTCTCGGTCGCCCAACGGGTCGAGTTCGCTCCCAGCGGAAGTTTCCCCGATGGAAACATCGGAGGCGACCCCGCCGGTAGCAGCTGTCGCGAGCGGTCAACGGCTCAATGGTGCTGGCTCTCTTACCCCGGTGGCGGAGGAATTAAGAGCCCACCGCCTTAAGTATTTGGAGAGGAGAGATTAGTCTCCGAATGAAAGGTATGGTATTCTTTAAGAGGCGGATACGTGCGTGTGGCGTCTTGGTGCGCCGTTGATTCGATCGGGTTGTGCGTTAATTAAAAGTTCTTTATTGGATTCATTTTTTTTTAGAATAATCGTTTAAATCACGCATTGCTCTTGTGCTTGATGTTGTAAGACTTAGCTTGTATAGATCGGTCATTAATTCGAATCTTCGTTTAAATAATGAAACTTGGATTAAGCTAGTTTAAATATTATAAGTTTATGTATAAGCTATTTTTAGTTTGTAGCGTTTGACCGAGCCGTGAGCCGTTTGCCGGAAAAGAGAGAGAAAGACTTAAAGAGAGGTAAGGCCTTGTCTCCAAGGAAGAGCTTCGGCCTTCGGAGAGGCTGTGACGGTGTAGGCTGGTCATAGCCTACACCGTGTATGCCTGTATTCTCTCTCTCTCTCTCGGGCGAAGGCACGCGGCTGGTATCAAACGCACGTTATTATCACGTGCCTGATGCCTGCCCTTTTTTTTATTTTCAGCAAAGCACGAGAGCGGAGGGCGAGGCCATGGACGCGACGACGCGATCGAACATTGAGAGTGCGAGAGAAAGAGAGAGAGAGAGAAGCTATAGTCTAGTGGTTGGGCTTAGCGCGCGGCACTTGTCGCGACCGGCATTGCCGCGTGCCGCCGATTAGGAGGAGAGTGGTGGGAGAAGGCGTGAGTAGCCGGCTCTCAGACACTCGCGACAGTGACGCGCACGCACGCGAGAGTAATCGGCCGCATTAGTTGGTGACCATCGATGTGAAGCCTGCTCCTTTGTTTGGGAAGTAGTCGGCAGTCCTCGACGGATTGGCCGGGACGGATTCTCTGCCAGCGACGCAGCAGTCAGTAGATTTTCCTGCAAGAAGCCATCATCAAGACAGTACCCGACAGGTTCTTCTGCCAAATCGCCGGCTACACCGCAGCCAAGGGTCTTCCTGCCAAGCCGCCGGTGGGATACCTTCTAGACTGCCAGCGACAGCGACGTTCGCCGATATCGGTCAGGTCATCTATTCCTCTCTCTCTCTTTATATCTCTCCTTTTTCTCGGCGATTTTCACGGTTCGCGTTGCTACGCCAGGCTTCCCCGAGCCGGTGTAATTTTCGGCGGTGTTTAATATAAGTTGTCGTTTGAGCCGGTTAACGAGGTGACATGGCGCTAACGTGCTGGTCATCTCGTTTAGAGTAAGTTTGCGTGTTATTAGTAATAAGTGGTTTGTACTCTCGTCGGCACTCGAGGTAGTGCATTTATAATAAATGGTTTATCAACGAAATTGAGTGTGTGAAATTATTTTGCCTGCAGTTCTCCTTTCTGCTTTGCTTGGAGCGATACATCGCCTCCCTTGCCTTCCCCCTTTATAAATAATTGGTAATAGTGGTGAATTTATCGGCATTGCAGGCCGACTCTATTACACGTCCAGCAGGTGTCAGTAAGTAACCGATAGATTCATGAGGCTTTACTGTTCACGTTTCTATCTGGTAGAGGTCGCTCGAACACTCTGGCGCGAAGATATAAACGTAGGCTCGATACTTTCCGGACAGACCTCGTATACTCAGCTCTCGTATAAAATAAAATTAATTTTTTTGATTAGCTAGAACTCCCAAATTGTAATGCGGTTTAATCCTTCCCGAATTCTTAGTGCACTTGTATATAGCTTTATATTCTAGTTATGCTCGATATTTTTAGCATTTTCTTTAGACAACATCATAACCTTCATTGACATAAGTTTTGAACCTCCTTCATTTTTTATGCATATTTATTATTAACAAGTACTAGGTATTTTAAATACTGACTATGTTATATTTTGAGTTGGCTATTGTACAATACTCAATAAAATGTTTTTCCACTAAAGTAACACCTGAAAAAGATAACATAGTGACGGCAATGTTGCGACTACAAACTAATTGTGTGTGTACTTTTTACATCTTTGATGGGAGGAGACCGACAAAATAAGATAGATATATGTATAAACCGAGTGATAAACCATATAATTATTAAAAGTATAATATTACATGTAAATATATGATGAAATTATTTTAAAGTCTTATTTATTTTCATTACCATAAAAATGATAAATCGTATATAATTTTTTGAAATATTTTTATTGATTTCAGGAATTTTTTGCAACTCCATTACTCAAGTTGATAGGATTTACACTGTTTTCTCAAAAACTACTGCTGTATCAAAACTATTGATTCGAAAATATGGCAGAGGCTAATAAGTTAAAACTACCATCGCATTATTTCAGTGTCTTAAAAATAATATTTCTAGAATCTTATAAGACATTCATTAATTTATAAGTCAAGAATAGAATATTTTTGTGCAAGTAATGTTTATAAGTATAAAACAGTATAATGAAAGCTTTTCAGAACACGCTCCTCAATTGAGTACTAGTGGCTGTACTAAAACTATCATTTTATCACTTATAGCTTTAATAAGCTTATGCATAAATTGTCTAACTGTTTGGTCAATTTTATCTAACAAAAAAAGAAAGCATAGCTATACAGCAATTAATTTTCTAATTATACAGCTTTCTATTGCCGATCTTTTTGTAACTGTTTTTTGTATTGGAGGTGAAGCTCTGTGGAGCTACACTATATCCTGGCCTTGGGGAAATACTGCGTGTAAAGCCTTCAAGTTTTTCCAAATGTTCAGCCTTTATCTAAGTACCTTTATACTGGTTTTTATTGGTATAGATCGTTTTATTGTTGTTAAGTATCCAATCAAAAATATTAAAAGTGATCTAAGATATCCTCAAATCATTGCATCAATCTGGATTTTCTCATTAATACTTAGTATTCCTCAGGTTAGTTTAAATTGATTTCTTAATGTAAACAAACTTTAAAAATATATCTTCATATGTTCATATTATAAGAGAAAAAGAAATTGTATCGGAATTAATATCAAGGAGAAAATGCATTATAGGCTTAAAAATGAACGTGAAAAATTAATTTTCTTTTCATTTACTCATTTCTAGCTTACTTCTATACTCTAACGGGGTGGATTAGCTGGTACAAAATGGGTTTATTAAAGAACAAACTACCACGATGCAGAGCTAACCGCCGCTTCGTTAAACACGTATGAGTATACGTGTATTCGACTTTACGTTTGATACTTTCGTTCCGACTCACCTTAAGTCACCCGACTTGTGACACTCGATCTATCTTAAGTGTGAGTGACCTTATGTTTACTCCATCTATTCCCTAGATGAAATCGGTTTAAAAATTAACCGTTGATGGATCAGCTAAACTAAAAGAAAACGAAATAAAGTAATGCGGCGAATAAAATCAAAATCGTTTATGACTAATAAATTAGAGTCTTCGATGGGCCGAAGGACTTACGCACGCGAATAGGATTAACAACTTGTTACAATAATACGTGGAGAGAGAGAGAGAGAGAGAGAGAGAGAGAGAGAGAAAGAGAATTTAAAATTCAACCGCGAAAACGAACACTAACGCTCGGCGCGAACGCATAAACGGTCGCGATAGACAAAATACTACCGTAAGTATTTTGTAGCGTAGAAAAAGGGAGGTGCACCTACCTTGTGGTGCAATCACGGTGATCAGCCGTAATTGTTGAAGAAAATCGAATTCTTTCCCAGGAACGGCTGTGCTGGTTTTCCTCGCTGCAAATTGGCTGTTGCTGCACTTAATGCTGCTGCTTGCACAAATCCAAAAAAACAGAAAAACTTTCAACTATCAAACGGCAAAATACAGTGGAAAACTATTTGGCGGTACTCTTACAAGCAACAGCTGAGCCTTAACTGAAAAATTGAACTCTCGCGCGCCCCCTCTCTCTCTTAGATATTCACTCTAATATCGCGAGTGCTACCGAATCACGAACGTATTGATTGATCAAATCGACAACCGTTGCACCCCTCCCCCCTCCAAGTCCTGATAACCCGGACAGGATGAATACCCACAATTCATCGTCATCAGGAACCTGGAAAAGTATAGAGAAAAGGAAACAAATAACTAAAAACCCTTTCCTCTTTTTTAAGAGCTACTTTATTTATGGCCCTCCCGGGCCTACACTATTTCTTGGCTACACCTGATGATCTGTGCTTCGGGTACCGCCAGTGTATAGCCTTCTTCAGGCACCGCTGAGATTTGGTCACCCCAGGCTCCACGCAGATGTAGCAGCCCCTCAGCTGCGAACGAGACTGAGCAGCCTCCCGATCCTGTGTAGTCTGCTCCATAGACCGATAACTGCCGAGCGCTAACTCTTTGAGAGGCGGTGATTGTTACGCCTCCCACCGTGGCGGTCGCACGTCCAGCCTGCGACCTAACCACGATCGTGGTGTCGGAAGCCACGCGCTCGTCCATGTGGACCGTGAGCATCGACCCAGCACCAGTAGCTTCCGGGACTCTCTTCTCTTGAGGCGTCGCTGGGAGCGCTGCGGGGGTCACCTGTCCATTTTTCACTTGCAGCAGAGCCTCTCCATAGACCCCATGACGCTGACCTACTTTTGTCCACGTCCCGAGCAGCTCTTCTGCATTCTGGCGGTTCAGAAAACGTCTCAGGTGCTCATACAGCTGAGACTGGAGTTCTCCTACGAATCGCCAGGCACTCTCTACCTCGTTGAGCCCCAGACGTACATGTCTGAAATCGAGGAGGAGAGTCTGCTGCTCTGGGATACGGGGGTGTTTGCAGACCCGGTACTGTGCCCCACAGGTCTCCCTGGATCTAAGGCACTGCCTCGCACTGTCCGACATCTGGGGTACCCCGGACTTGAAGAACGTACGCTCTCGTCCTTGAGACCTTGCCATCGGAGCATCCTCGACGTCCTCGAGCACTTGGTGCCTTTTCTCTCTAGGTACCGCAAGATTACACGCTTCTTCGATGGATCCTTCACCGTCCTTATCACGCTGATAGTGATACAGCTTCCCACCAACTACCTTTCATGTGGGGTGTGAGTGTAGGTCTTGGTATTGCTGTAAATATCAAGCATCAGTAGTCTCCGGCCAACAATTTATGGCACTCACTTTAGTCCCCTCCTCTTCATAGCCCCTAGACAATGCGTCCAGCACCACATTGAGATCTCCCCTTCGATATTCACAAAATTGGAGACATTACCTTGCAATGCTAGCGCCCGACGCGCTAGTCTTCCCGTGGGATTTCACATACTATAGAGCCATTTTAGGCAACTATGATCCGTGATGACCTTGAAGTGATGCCCTTCAATGTACGGCCGGAATTTCCCAATGGCCCATACCACTGCCAAGCACTCTTTCTCGGAGACTTTATAATTTCTCTCAACACTGTTGAGCGATCGGCTGGTGTATTCGATTACACGCTTCTCTCCATCGACATCCTGCGTGAGAACCGCCCCGATCCCACTGTCACTGACGTCAGTTTGTAGTACAAATTGACCGCTAGGATCGGGTGCTTGCAGTACTGGGGCGGAAGTCGTCGCCTCCTGCAACCTCGTAAAAGCTTGCTCTTGCTCCTCCTCCCAAGAGAAACGTATATTTACAAGTGGTATAAACTTTTCCAAGAAGGCCGAGAAGATACCGACGACGAACCTCGTTCTGGACGCCCCAGCACATCAACAACTGATGAGAATGTTGAAGAAGTGAAGAAAATAGTGTTGGGAAATCGTCGAATTACCATTAGAGAAATTGCTGATGATATTGGCATCTCATTTGGTTCGTGCCAATCAATTTTGACGAGTGTTTTAGATATGAGACGTGTGTCAGCGAAGTTTGTTCCGAAATTGCTCAATTTCGACCAAAAGAAACATCGCATGAGCATCGCCCAAGAGCCACTGAATGACGTCAACGATGATCCAGATTTACTCAACAGGGTTATAACAGGTGACGAAACATGGGTATACGGTTATGACGTCGAGACTAAGACTCAATCGTCCCAGTGAAGGCATTCTGGATCACCAAGACCAAAAAAAGCACGCCAAGTTCGATCAAATGTAAAGGTTTTGCTTACAGTTTTCTTTGACTGCAGGGGCGTGGTGCATCATGAGTTCTTGCAACAGGGTAGAACAGTAAATAAGGAATATTACCTGCAAGTTATGCGCAATTTGCGCGAAGCAATCCGCCAGAAACGTCCGAATTTGTGGAAAAATAAAAATTGGCTTTTGCACCATGATAACGCCCCTGCTCACACATCGTTGCTTGTGCGCGAATTTTTGGCTAAAACCAACACAGTAACGATGCCACAGGCACCGTATTCCTCAGATCTGGCCCCCTGTGACTTCTTCTTGTTCCCAAAACTGAAGAGGCCCATGAAAGGACGGTGTTTTGCCACGATTGAGGAGATAAAGACGGCATCGAAGGATGAACTAAACGAGATCACAAAAAATGACTTTTTGAAATGCTTTGAGGATTGGAAAAAGCGTTGGCACAAGTGCATTATATCCGAGGGGGATTACTTTGAAGGAGATAAAATAAAAATTGATGAATAAATAAATATTTTTTGAGAAAAATAAAAATTCACCTTACTTTTTGATCACACCTCGTACATTCTTTTTCGCTAGGCAGTTTATAGGTTCAGCGATCATGGCGAAGTCAGGTGCAAAACGTCTATATCACGACGTCATACCCATGAATCGCTTTATCTGTTTAACTGTCTGTGGTGTTGAATACTCCAGTATCGGTCGTATCTTCTCGAGATCTGGTCTTACTCCGTCCTGGTTCACGAGAACTCCGAAGTACCTTACTTCCGTTTTACAGATGTAGCTTTTGGCTTTGTTGATGGTTAGACCCGCATTCAGAATCATCTTTAATACTATTTTCAGGTACCACGTATGTTCCTTAAATAACGACGAAACCACAATTACATCGTCTAGGTAAGCAAAAGCGAACAGATCCATATTGGGGCCTATCACCTTATCTATCAACCTCTGGAAGGTCGCCCCTGCGTATGACAGTCCGAAGAGCATTCTCTTGAATAGAAAATGCCCCAACTCTGGTACTGTAAACGCCGATATCGGACGCGACTCTTTCTTTAGGGGAATCTGATGGTACGCATTACTTAAGTCCAAAGTGGATATGAACTTGGCATCCCTTATCCGTCTTAGGATGTCGCTCATATATGGTAAAGGATAGGTATCTGGTTTGGTTATTGCGTTTATCTTTTGGTAATTTACGCAGAACCTATATTTTCCATCAGTCTTCTTTACCATCACCACTGGACTTGACCACCCACTGGTCGCTGGTTCGATTAAATCTTTTTCCATCATATCCTTGAACAACGCGTGTATTTCCTCTCGCATCCTGTCGGATACTAGGTAGTATTTTTGTTTGATGGATCGAGCACTTCCAACATCTATTTCATGCTCAACCCCCACGACACAGCCTAAAACATCTCCTCCATCAGGAATCAATCTTCTGACGAGGTCTTCGATTTTCTCAAGCTGTGTTTCCGTGGCCTCCCACAGTCCTACCGGTGCGAAAAACGCCAAACCATCAATTCCCGACACTTCCATAAGTACTTTTACCTGAGTATCCTTCAGCCATAATTCATATTCATCGGGAGGCAAAACTGCGCGGAACTCTCTTATAAAGTTCGCGCCTACGTAGCAGTACATCGTACACATCTGTAAGCAGTGGCGTAATGGCGACTCTTATCTTTCTTGTGATTTCCCCTACCTTAAAGGGGAACATCACGTGACCAATGATGGAGCATACGCGCCCGTCGGCGAGCCTTGCATCGCCCGCCCTGGTCACATTCAGTCCGAGCCTCAACTTCGATGACAATCTCAGCCCTAACTGACCCATTACTGTAGATGAGGCGTTGGTATCATAGTGTGCTCTAATCTTAAAGTCACCTATGTCTACCCGCAACCAC